CGATATACCGATAATACAAGTCTCCTTGCCTTTTAATCATTTTTGCAATGGGACGCTCATAGAAGAACATGTACACATTGGCGATTGTGAAAGGCGAACCCATTGCTCCACCAGGGATTTGTCGGTAGTATAAACCGTCTAGTACAAAATAATTATTCTCCAAAACAAATCGAGTCAATTCAAGGATTGTTTCAATTGAAAGACCACTGACATTTGTTAATTTTAAATGTGAAAACATTTTTCGCAAGGCATCTACGGCTCCATCTTGAGGGATCATCGTATAGAGATCCGACACATCTACCGTGAGAAACTGTGTAGTGGCCGTAATTGGGCCCAGTTTTGGACTTTATTTAGAAGGTAGATGTCTCCTTTGATCGATGAATGATTCGCCATCTGATCGAACAGAGGTCGAAGGCATTTATCTAAAAACTTTGAAATAGGCATGGGCGGGGATTTAATCCCTGACACAATTGGACGTAGTGGAGTACCAAGCTTATGTGCTTTAGGAAGGAAATAAAGATGGGCAAGCTCGGCTTTCTTCGGATCGACCAACAATTTCTCTAGTTGTGTTCGAGTCAACTTCTTTTCAATCCAGAGGCGTCTAAGGAGATGATTGGTCCTCTGAACGAGGTCCTGTAATGGACTGCCAGGGCCTAATAATTCGTATGCCTTGGTCTTTTCCATATAAGCTCTAGCTTTCTTCTGATAGTCTTCTGAGGTTCCTAAATGGAAGACTTTAGACTTATCAGTCTTCCTCAGAACGGATTTAGACTTACGCAAGCGTCCTCCCAATCTCTTGATAAGTTGGTGACGGAGCTTGGTCTTCTGATAGCTTTTCCGACTCTTTTCATGATGACACTTGATCAAAAGTTGATCGAAGGCCGTACCATAGTTTGTCTACCATGAACCCGTCTCTTTGCTAGACGGTCGCTAATCTTGCGCCCCGCCTTTTCTAGTTCTTCTGGTCTTCTAGACTCAGCTGTTTTAGGGTCATTTGGAACATACTTGGGGCCTAATTTTAAAAGGTCACGCTCATCTTCTGATAAATCCATCCGACTTTCATTGATTATAGCGGGAGCATAAAACCTAGGCCAAGCATCAGAGCCGCAGGTTGAGGTTCGTTTTGTCGTGTAAGCATGGGAACTGTTGCTCTTATGTCCTCGATCCCGTGTAGCTCGTCTAAAAAAAGAAGAGCTAACTCCGTGGTTTTATTGAGTCGAATAGCTCGTGCCTCCAAATAGTTATTGAAGAGGGTTCGAAACGATCTACAAACTTGTCAATCCAATATTCGGTACAGTTTACGTGGTAATCAGATGTCTGTTATTGAGGCGGTAAATAGTATGGATAAAGATTTTTTTACTGTTGCTACGCGGGAGTGGAATGATCTTTTACGGGAGGATGCAAGTTTTTCAGCCATGAAAATGTCAAAAATGTGCAACGCTTTAAAAGCAGAGTATGTATCTGCGCGAGTTTTTCCTAAACGACTCAAGTTTCCTACGAGACGTGATGAAATCATATTTATGCGTATTAAATCAAATTCACCGCCACTAAGCTACTATCTCTATCGGCGCAAATATGTCGATTCGCGTAAATGTAGTTGCGGATATGATAGGGAAGACATTGACCATTATTTTCTCCACTGTAGATTGTATAATGTTGAAGACAACACCTTATGCAGCAGTTTTCCTTTTTGAATACATTTACAGTGGGCACTTTACTACTGAACAGCTTAGATCTAGATAATGACACACTAATATGGTTACTACATGCGGTCATTACATAATATTCAACAAACGAACAGATTTTAATAACTAGCAGCACAGTTTTATTCGTTTTTTCTCTTATGACGTCCATGCCACCTCCACCGTCAGGCCTATCTACCCCTGTCCTTCTAATACTGTCTTTCTATTTTTGTTGTTCTATTTTTATACCATTTTATCATATATTTACTAACTGTTTCTATTTGCATTGCAGGGCCTACAATGGTCATTGACCGCTGGCCTTTTTATCAGGAATCAATAAAAATATTAAAAAAAACAACGATATAAACTGTGCTGCTACGTAACATCGGACTGTGCTGCTACGTAAACATGCTGAACGTAAAAAAGCGGATCATTGGTTTCTTGGTGCCATTGGATTAGCATTAATACCAACCAACACAGTCGAAAGTACTTGGGCGGATATTATGGATTTATACACACCAGATGACGTTAATGCTACTGAATTCAATGATTATTTAGTTCAAACCTATCTAGATAGTGATACTAGTTTATATGGGATTGATATATGGAAAGTGTATGATGCAGTAATTAATGATTTACCAAGGACGAATAATCACGTCGGGGGATACAATAGTCGTCTGGAAAGTAATTTTCCAAAACATTCACATATGAGTGAATTGCTGGGTCTCGGCTATCAAACGCTGAAAACCGCAGGTCTCTATCATGTTCCTACCAAAATTTATTCAAAAGATATCAGAGTGTCTTGACTTCTAGGAACGATAAAAAGTTGCAATTCACTCATATGTGGATGTTTTGGAAAATTACTTTCCAGACGACTATTGTATCCCCCGACGTGATTATTCGTCCTTGGTAAATCATTAATTACTGCATCATACACTTTCCATATATCAATCCCATATAAACTAGTATCACTATCTACATAGGTTTGAACTAAATAATCATTGAATTCAGTAGCATTAACGTCCTCTGGTGTGTATAAATCCATAATATCCGCCCAAATACTTTCGACTATGTTGGTTGGTATTAATGCTAATCCAATGGCACCAAGAAACCAATGATCCGCTTTTTTACGTTCAGCATGTGATATATCGTTGTTGCTGTTGCTATTAGCATTCCTTGGAAGAAAATGACGACTCATACCAATTTGTTGAAGTTTTCTCCATATCGATTGTGCGTAATGAAAGAAACACCCATTAATTTTGATGTTTGTAAATACGTTATTGAATGAATGTATAGTAGCGTGTTCAAAATCACATGTCAAACGTTGTGGCTTCACAACAACATGAAATTTTTGTCAAAGTGCAATTAAATAATTTAAGATTTTAGTATATGCAATTTCATTTTTCTTCGTTGTTAAACAATAAGCACACGGAATCATATATCCGTTATTAAAACCGAATATAATGTACAATTGAACAAATAATAATGGATGAACACTAAATGTACCATCGGAATACCAAAGCGAACATGATGATAAAAAACGAATGCCCCATTCTGAACCAAAAACCATTATACGGTCCCTACCATCTAGAACTAAATAAACCTGTAAAATAGTTGCATTGTTGAAAGAAGGTTTGAAATTACTTACATTTTTCATCAACTAATAAAAAATCATCACCATTTTTATCTAATTTCTTATCTTATCTTAGTATATTGATGATCTTTATAATTTAAGACTTGCTTACCACGTTCAGTGAAAGTGAAATGTAACATATTTCGGATAATTTTTGTGTACTCCTACTGAATAACCTTAAGTTTATATAGGTCTGTGAGCTTCTTTTCCTGGGCATCTTAAACAGCTATAAATTGTAGCTGTTTATATATTGTTAATTATTATTGTTGTTCTTTTTCACGAAATTACCTAAATTTAAATAATTTAGTCTATGCGTACATTTAAGCGACAAAACGAGAAGGGACGAATCGAGAAAACTATTTTAAAGGACGAATTGAGAATAAAACTTGATGAGGGACCAATTGAGAAATCAATTAGGGACGACTCCAGAGGACACCGCTTCTTTTGGACATAGAATAAATGAACATTTCAATTAAAATATTATACTTTTTCGTTTTCTTATTTTGTTCTTTCATGAAATAACGTTCTGTACACATGTATATGAGCACATAAGAAATGAGAATTATGACCGACGACGTGACCTTTGCACGTACTGGGTTCACAGCTACAGCGTAGTATTATTAAATGCTCGATAATTCTAGCAAAATGTTGGAGTTAATTCGCAACTTTTACACGTTGTTTTTATTACATTCTATATTGCTGTGATTACTTACAACCCACTTTGTTTTGCAAAACAACAAAGGGTTGACTGAAATCGTTGCGACGATTAGTCGTTAATGCGCCGCCCAGAACTTGAACAACGTGAAAATACTGGTAGAGAAGAGGTAGCCGCACGGGTCCATAAATACGATGTAAATTGAATTGAATCGAATCTTGAACGTTCAGTGGCACACTCAGAAAGAGAAATCCGCCCGGTTTGAGAATGCATGAAATTTTGACCATTGTCTGAAGATCACCGTACGGATTGAGCGGATCTCGATATCGACCGAGACCATCGTGCTCGAGGCTGCTGTACGACCATACACTATCGAATATTTCTCGTTTGTTCGTTTCAAGCTGCTGTTGCTCACGTGCAAATGCCTCGGGTGTAATAATAAAAAGACGGGGTACGCTTGAGTTAATTGTCGCATATTCAATAGTAGTTACACTTGAAGCATTGTACTCGAGTAAAGCCGCTTCAATCCAAGGGTTTTCTGTTCCGATCACGGCACATTTCTTGTCACAAACAGCCCATGAAGCGTACCCATCCAGAGCCGCATATATGTCTCTATTGTTGTACGACCCTAAGGCTTCGCGTGCTCTCACTTGGATCCGATACTTTTCGATAAGTTCAACTGTCCATTTAGTTGGCAATTTATATGAATCGACGTAATGTTATGTGAATCGACGAGCAGGAAAGTATCTCTTGATTCAAATCACTTTTCGCATTTTGGCGCGAATAGTGGCGCCACTTAAAACGCGCTACTATTCGCGCCAAAATGCGAAAAGTGATTTGAATCAAGAGATACTTTGCTGCTCGTCGATTCATATAATAAGCTCTTCAGAAAAAAAGATTTGGACCGATTCTGCTCCCCGTATAAAAGGTCGATTTTTCGCTAATGCGAGGGCAGTTGACGACGATAGTATAAATTGTGCATTGGACCATCGACGTCCTGCTGAAGTACACAACGAATGCCATTGTTCGCAGCATCGATAGATAAAATCACAGGATTGTTATCAATGGGAAGATGGAAAAAGCGCGGAGTTAGTTAATAATTTCCTTATCGTGAAACGCATCGGACTGCTGTTTGGAGCATCTGAATTTATACCACAGACTTCCTGATAAATTTGTAACGCCGTGTATTGGAGCAGCCCTAGTGGCAAAGTGTGGAATGAACTTGCGATACCAGAATAACGCTCTTAAAAATTTATTAGCTTCTTTCAGCGTCTTGGGTTCTTTCAATAAGAGCATGGGCGCAATTTTTTCCGATAACGGCGAAATGCAATTGAGATTTATCAGAGATGTCCGGTGTACGTAAAAGTTCTAAATTTGAAATTAAGCGATGTTGTGCGGTAGAGATGCAGTTGAACTTATGAATTTATGAATTGTATAACCTCTGAGTGCGCAGGAGTTTTATTTTATATACTAAATTCATTAGCACGTATACGGCAACGGTCACAATTCGAGAGATGAAAGAGAAAAGCAGAAAAAAAACTGGACCATTGACCAGTATAGGAGTCATCATCAGATCTTGCTCTGGGCTTCCAAGGCCGCCCAATATACCGAAATACATGGCTATTGATGAAGCAGATAACGTACTAGAATCTGAAGGTGAGCTCGATAAAGATCAATGTAATTCTGGCAATGGATTTACAATTTGTCGAGAGGTACTAGAACCGAGAACATATATCCAGAATATATGTCTGAAAAAATCTCTCTGGGAGGGAAATAATTTGAAGCTGAAAACTAGCTCGCTCGAAATATATAAATGCATTAACTGTTTAATTTGATTTTCTATGCAAAAAACTAGAATAACGTTGTTACAGACACTTTGGTCTTTTTCCGTCCGGTGAGATTGAATCTCGCATATCCCCACAGTGGGAAATTTCCACTAGGCACATGGACATTAGGTTTTTAACACGTTCACGAAACTCAAAACACTCTTTTTATAGGTTTTCTAATATGCTCTTTCCAATAAATAACCCTTTTGTTCGAAAAATAAAGATATTTCCTTTTATAGGTTATTTCGCATGCCGAGAGTAAAAACTCGTCACTATTCTGCTTAGGACCCAACACCACTCCTGGGCTTTCTTTTGTTTCGTATTAGCCAGGTTCCTAAGCTGCTGCAGATTCTAGAGAGGCAATACGCTTCGGCGTGTTTCTAATTTTTCCCGTAGGTTAAAGTTATTGCGTCAAAATTCAAAGAGCTGCGAGACAGTTAGCTCAGGTCGAACAAAAGATCTTTCTGTCGATAAGATGACAAAAATGTTGAGTCAAAGATATAGTCATAGCGCAAACTTGAATATGACAATAAAGCGTATAACAGACATCTAAAATTAAGTCGCAATACATTTATTACTCCTTTAATTTCTTTGTATACTTTATTTTTAGTTTATATGGCTATTACTAATTCCAAAAAGAGAGGCCACCGAAAGCGACGTTGGGGCGCAAAATTCGAAGAGCTGCGAGGCAGTAATCATTCTTCGTCTCCATCGTGAGCACTCAAAAGCTCGTTCGGATTGGGATGAGATGTTGTAGCTGAAACCACTCTCTTGCTACCTTCCCCAAGATTTTCAAATTCCACCAATGAATATGGCTCCAGTTTCAACTGCTGCAATCGTCGCAGAACCAAGAGCCAATCTTCAAATCTTCGATCAACACTATGGATCAAGACCGGCCGCGTGCACCAAGAACAGATCTTCCAAACTGGATGATGCCCCAAGGAAAGCAAAACAAAATGGGTATTGTTCCGGCAGCTCGAAAATCTACATCCGCTATACCGGCTTTTTCTTCATTTAGAAATCGTCGGCTACCACCATGTCCGAATGCTCGGAATTATTTTTCTACTACCATAATGCATCATGAACCACTTCGCACAAATCGCATTCGCCAACCAACGTTTTACAATAAAAGTTTTTGTCAACGTCCACCAACACTGCGAAACCAGCAGAGATCTGTTTTTCAAACAGGATCATCGTCAAATTTTAACAGTTATACGAACATTTCAAATTATATTCCACCGCGTCCGCTATGTACGTATGCTCCTCCATTAACATCAAATCAAGATATGGCGCCAAGATTAGCGCATACGAACGGACTA